TTGATCTGCATCTTTGACCAAAAAATTTTCCCTTTGGTTTCACTGACGGAAACCCTCTTTGGTTTCCCTTTGATTTCTAGTGTCGATCTCGACATCTCAGCCACCATGTGGTGTCATAGCCGATGTCTTCCTTCAAGAATCGCTCCGACAAAGAGGAGGAGGAGCCGCCGCATCTGTCGGAACACGTGCCGCCGAAAAAGGAAACGGAGGCATGTGTCGGCTCTTGTTGACAGGTCAGATTCAGAGATTCTGTTTCTTCTCCTACTTATCTCACATTCTGCTTAACTTCTCTCTTCCTCTCTAATGGTTAAACTTTAGTTGTTTCTGCCCTAATGCCCCCAAGTTCCGAGAAAGTAAAGAGCTTCGTCGGGGATTCGAGAGGTGCGATCTTCAAGGACAAGAGTTTGGCTCTGCTAATGGTATTTTTCAAGCTTGTTCAACAACACTTGGCTTCGACTACCAAAATCGATGATTCAACAGTGAGGATATCGGAGGAAGACATGGAGATTCCATTTGTGGATTTCTTGACAAAGATGCGTTTGCCACCCAAAATCAATTTGTATAGCCTTAAATTACTTCTTCATAGCTTTTGTTTCTCAAGATAATGTCTTTGAAATGCTGATGGTAAAGGTTCTTCTGTGTAGGATCATCTTGTATGCCATTGCGATGCTAGATTATGATCAAGACAATATAGAAACTTGTAGAGATTTACTTAAGACCAAAGAGGGGATTGATCGATTGGCTCTATACATTACATCTATTGGCAGGTCATTTGTAATTCTGTGTTTCTTGACTCTTATACATTATGTCACTCTCGTTCGTTATACTCAAGTATAATTTAGTTTTTAACCCCTTTATTCTTGTCGTTGAGCCGCTGTCAAAGGATGCATCTATGTACGTTTAGAACACTTTCTTGCATTGTCTACTGTGTTGCTGTTATACTTGTGACTTATCTGGTCTTTCAATGTTTGAACAGGTTCTACGAATGCCTATTACTGCTCTGCATCTAGACATGGCAATTGCGTTGATTATTGTAACCAAAGATATG